AGCTAGCATTCATTTCACATTAAGAAAGTGGTAAGTTAATTCACACTAAAGTGATATAATATAATATAGCTAGCATTCATTTCACATTAAGAAAGTGGTAAGTTAATTCACACTAAAGTGATTACTGCTCATGTAACATATTCTATCCTGCTTAACACACCCAATGGACACAGTTACTGGACAACTGGGTGCCCAGAGGGGTAGCTTTTAGTACTTTCAACATTCTATGTGTCTATCCTCCTGATTGCTGGCTCACAAATCCCCAATAGTGACTCAGTTGGTTGTTTAACAAAGGCCTTAATTTACTCAAATAGCATAAACACTCCCAGAATCCAGGATGGGGAAAGTGTATGCATTAACTTAAAATGCAAAAGAAATCAATTTCTAACTCCAATATTTTTGTAGGGCCTCTCCAGGTTTTCTCAAAGTTTCCTAAAAGGTACTCTGCTATTCAGTTAGGCTGGCTCTTTGCCAGGCATGGTGTCTTCCCTGAACTGGTGACCCAACTGGACTGCTCCTACTAGGGTAGAGTCTCCACTAGAAGGGTTAATATGGGGCTGAGCCAGGCCAAGTAGGTCCCTTGGTGGCTCTGCTAGGGGTTCCTTCAGCTACTGCAGAAAGTCTCACTTGGGCACTACTCTTCTTTCCCCACATTGATTTACCTTACCCTTTTCTATTTGCATTTTATTATTAAGTAAAATAATAAAGATACACACCATAAAAATTAAGAGATAACTGGATCAAGTATCTTTCATGGTTCTGGCTAGAAGGGGAAATTTTAACTTAAAGACACACACAATAAAAATTAAGAGATAATTAGATCAGATATCTTTCATAGCTCTGGCTAAGAGGAGAAATTTTAACTAAACAAAGGAAAGAGATCATAAAAAATTAAATAGTTCCCATTATATGAAATGGAAAAGCTTTTCCATGAACAAAATCAAAACCATTAAGGTAAGAAGAGAAAGCTTCATTATTGGGGGGAGAACTATGCATTAAATCTCTCTACTAAGAAGATAAGTAAGGGATGGACACAAATATATAAGACCGAGGTTCCTTTCCCAATGGATAAGTAGTCAAAAGGATGTAAAAAAAGGGTGCTCAAAAGGAGATCTACACATTCTTAATGTGCACATGAAAGGTAGTTCCAAATCATTAATAAGAGAAATAGAAATCAAACAACTCCAAAATATTATACCAGGAAAATTGGTGAACTGACAAAAGATGGAAATAGGCAATATTGGAGGGGATGTGGGAAGACAGACACATAATGTTGGTGGTAGTGCTATGAATTACTCCACCCATTCTGGAAAACAATTTGTCCTTAGGCTTTAAAAAAAAAGTCTTGAAATTTGATCAAAGAAATTCAGATTTATGCTTTTTTTTTAAAGGGTTAAATGTCCATACTCTTTAACACAGAAATTTCACCACTAGGCATAAACCCCCAGGAAGATCAGAGACAGAGAGAAAGTTTCCATGTAATCAGAATATCAGCAACACTTTCTGTGATAGCAAAGAATGGGAAACAAAGTAGATGTCCCTTGATTGGAAAGTGGGTAAATAAATTGTGTTATGTATGTAACCAGGCTGGTGTGAGTATGCCTAGTTCACCTAAAATGTAGACACCCTTGAGGGGACTTAGAGCATGTCCAGACTGCCTAATGTGGTGACCTTCATCCCCTACAGGTGAATGGGCATAACTTTGACAAAGAAACATTTACTTCAGGAGGTATAATCACACCTTCTCCCCCAAAACTTGTGAGGCATAATCCCCTGGTCCCTTTGCACTGCCTCAATCTCAGGGGAGGGAAAAAGGTTAAGGTTCATAGTTTAGATTGCTTACCACAGAACGTGGTCCCAGTTTCAAGTCTAAAATCACATGGGCTCAAGTCCCAGGCCCTTGGTTACTCAGGGTATCCACAAGGGCTGATTGGCTGCACCATCCCTCTTGTAATCTTAGTTTACCATGGCTGAGGAATACAAACATCACAGAACAACAGAAACAAACCCAGGCCCATTTTTAGAAACCTGGGTAAAATAAAGGGTGCAGAGGAAAGGGAAGCCCTTCCTCTCTCACCCATTCAGTTCATGGCCCTCATACTGTGGGTTAACTATAATCTTTACTCTCAGGCCACAGCAGATAGGGGCAGCTAGGTGGCACAGTGGATAGAGCATTGGACTTGGAATCAGGAAGACTTATCTTCCTGAATTCAAATCTCAGTCTCTCAGTATTTATGTAACCCGGGGCTGGTCACTTAACCTTGCTTACTTCAGTTCCTCATCTGTAAAATAAGCTGGAGAAGGAAATGGCAAACCATTCCAAGATCTTTGCCAAGAAAACTCTGAATGTGGTAGCAAAGAGTTGAACATGACTGAAAAACAATTGAACAACAATGTTCCAATTAGCTCAAGATGCTTCCTGATAGATCAGAAATAGGAGAAATGGGAAGCATTCCTTGTAAGACTCTGAAACTGTTGATTGAGAATAGATAGGAGTGATGAGAAGACAAATTAACAGGTCAACACTTCACAAGTTTACTATAGAATTTCACCTACTCCATAAAGACATCTGAGGACCTCCCTCATTGTAGTTCTCCTCTGAAATTCCAGATTTCCTCACTTATAGCTCCCAGTTAGCCATTATTCATTTTCTGCTCTATGTCATCTCCCACCTTGTTGCCTCAATTGCTACTTACTTCTCTGTGTCTCACATAGGTCTCTTGCCTTATATATTAAACTGTAAATTCTATGTGAGCACAGATCCAGTTTTACCCATCTTTGTACCCCCACAAGGACTGGCCTTGAGCTTTGCATTCAATAGGTGAACAGTAAATGTTTGTTGATTGATTAAATAATAGAGCTGAAGTCTATAATGGTACTGCATCTATAAATGCCAATTCCTAACTGAGGGGAACTGATAACTGTCATGGATGCCTTACAACTAGGAAGGTAAAAAAAAAGGGGGAAGGGTGCCATTCCCTAGGGCGTGGTCTCTAAGATAGACTTCTCATATCTGTGGATAGGCATGGAAGTGCCTAAAAAAACTGGTTCATGTTCCTTGTGTGGAGTAACTGGGGTTACTCACAAGCTCTACTGGATGCTTAGTTTTCATCACCCTAACTTCCACCAGCTATGATGCACCAGCATCCTCAACATCTACAACCACATCACCATCAGTCATACCACCAATGCCATCATACACACCATCACCATCTTGGCAGTTCCAAATAAGGATTCCCAGAAATGTTTGGATCAGTGTCAGTAAATAAGTATGGTGGCTTTCAAGATAATTATTTGGAAAAGGAAGAAATTAATTTTAGATATACAAGATCTGGCCTATTAACTAAAAATTGCCCTTTGATTTTTAAGTCATTCCTCACATTTCTATGAAATTTTTTGTGGTGTGGTTTGGATGAAGGCTTTATGAAAAGATAGCTAGATTTTCAGATGGCTCTTCACAGGGTCAAAGAGATAAAACACTTCTTGCTTTATTATAATCCCCCCACTCCTGCCCAGTGTGACCTAGCAAGCTTCATTGTACCCTAACAAGATCACACACATGTCAACAGAGTATAGAAAAATAGAGAACTACTAGAAAATGAATGCCTGACATCATGGTCCCACTTGACTAAGCTATGACTTCAACTTGATGTCATATCTTAACTGGTATAGCCATTGTGAGACATGATCATGAGGTTTCTCTGAATCCCATTTTGAAATTCCCCTAGAGGGGCCCCTCTAAAAGATTAGCAAGTATAGTAGGCAGAGTATTTGATGGGTTCTTTGGTTCTTTAGACAGCACCTAGAAATCGACCCACTTCACCTAGATATGTGAAAAAATGATCATGAGACAGAATGGGTACATTTCCCCACCCCTAAATGATTTGTCTGTCCTTAAAATGCAGAATAAAAGGTTCTGTTACTGATGCTTGATAACTAACCTTCTCAAGAAGAAGATGGACAGAAATTCACCCTGAAGGGCTGAACAAGGCAAGGGTGAACTGGAGGGAAGGGTACAGGTTTGAGCAAAGTTATACAGAAGGGGTTCTGGGAACAGCTGTGAAACAGAGGGCATAAGGAGAAGGGTCCCCTCAGGGAGGGCAGTAATCAAACACTTTCCCAGGTATCTAAGGTGGAGTGAGGAACTAACGATTCAGATGATCAGAATGGAATAGAACCACTTATGACAGAGCTTCATGGAAGTCCCCTAGGCTACTTTGATGGAGAAGGTAATGGGAAGAGGGTACTCAACAAGAAGAATGGAGCCTCTCATCCTGAGGAAAAACTCCAACATTCTCAATGTGCCATCTAGAGAGACCCTTTGGTTGTAAAGAAGCGTGCTACTGGGGCAGCTGAGTGGTGCAGTGGGTAGAACACCAGCCTTGAAGTCAGGAGGACCTGAGTTCAAATACAGCCTCAGACCAAACTCTTGACACTTACTAGCTGTGTGACCCTGGGCAAGTCACTTAACTCCAATTGCCTAAAAAAAAAAAGGAAGAAGAAGCAAGCTACCATGGTCTACCAGGGAAGAACAGAAGATCTGAGAAATGTCAAGAATTACCTGACATGTGGGACTTAGCTGGCACATGCCTTGGGTTGTGAAAGAGCCTTCTCCTCTCACCAGATCATGTCTCATGGCACAGCCTAGTCTAAGGATCTCTTATAAAAGGTGTACTAGGCATTGACTCTTCCCACAATCTGCATCTTCAAGAACAAGTCCATCAGTGTCTGTGATCAGAGTAAGTCTTTCAAAGCCCTGTGAGGGTGCTCATTGGTGGGGAGGGGTTTGCTTTGAACAATATGTTTCTGGAGTGGGATTGAAGGCAAGAAATGAGGGAGTAAGAAAGGAGAGAAGGGAGAAGAAGGAATAAACATAAAGTTGAAGGCCAGAGGGATGAAAAAAAAACATGGAATGGTTACCAGAGTGAGAAGGGAAGGATGGAAGCTTGTGTTCCAGATTTGTTCTAGTGTCTTGACTAATCAAGGAATATTCTGGGTCTCCTCAAAGAGCCCCAAGGGACAAGTCTGGCATGTAGAGAGGGAGGGAGCATCTGGGGTTTGCACTCCTGCAAGCTATGCCAATGATTTGAATAGCTAAGCTTGTGTGAATGAGGCTACCACATCCCTTTATTTGTTGGCTTCCACTATTGGAATATAAATTCACTGAGGATAGAGATTCTCTTTCTTTTGCATTTGTATCTCTAACACTTAGCACAATGCCTGGCCATAATAATGCCATCATAAGTGTTCAGTAAATGCTTTTTTCATTCAGTCAGTCAATTGTGTGTAGATATTCAACAAGTATCTATTCTGTATAATTTAGCTAGTTCTGAATTACATCTGAAATAAATCCATGTTGATAGGAGACCGACAAAAGATAGTTAGACTCTAAGTTCCTGGAGGGCAGGGACTACTTCACTATTGTCGTTTCCATAACTTTTAGCAAATTTCCTTGCACATAATAGCTGCTTAATAAATATACATTTATTAATTGATTAATGTAAGTTTACCTTTGAAATAATATAACTCACTGTAAGGAAATTTTATTTTCTGACAAATTTTAAGCGGTCAGTTTTGTCAGTGGTAACAAATGTACATGGTACAAGTAGGATTTGGTAATATAGTCGGGGTTGCAGGAGTACTGGGTCAAGGAACTGTCAACATTCATGCCACAGGTCTGTGGTCAGAGGATGGGGAATGGGTCTGATTGGCCAGGGCGCACATCCATTTCCAAGCTTCTACTAATGAGTTGGATCAAGCCAGTCAGAAAAAGGAGAGGACCAAGGGCCCTCCCAAAGCTTCCTGGGGGTAAGAAGTTTGAGAAAATCAAGAACAAATGTGTTCAAATTGAATTTAACCACCATTGTCCACTCTATGAAAGTAAGATGGTTGAGACGCACAGCAGTCAAGAATGAAATCTGTCCTTTCTTTTCTTGCATCTGTGCACAGGTTGCCAGTCCCCTGCTTCTGGAATCCATTTGCTCCTCATCCGCCCCTCTTAAATGGCTTGATTCATGTAACACCTCTTACTTTAAGTTTTTCATGACCTCCTGAGTTGATAGTGCTTTCTTCTTTCTCAAAGTATCACGTATATACTTGTTTTCCCCCATCAAATATAAGTTCCTTGAAAGCCAAGGTGGTCTTCCATTCGGTCTTCATATATCCACTGCCTAGCCCATAGTTGAAGTTGAACATGTACTGGTTGGATTAAATTGGATTGGATTGCCAGCTCCATTCCCCAGATGGCCAGGTGTCTGGGGTCCACTTAGAGAGGAAACTTTGGACAAATCAGGTTTCCTGGTCAGTTACTAGAAGTTGGGGATCATAAGAAGGATCTCTCCTTCGGAACTCTCTGGCTTGTGATAACAGTTCAAATTTACATAATTTTCTGAATCATTTGTATGTTTACTCCGTCCCTGGCATATAACTAAGCTATCGTTGCCACGGGACTGAGAAAACAGAAAGAGAGTAAACTCAGAGAGAGGGAGCTTCAATTTCTGATGAAATTTTGCAAGTGAAAGGAGAGAGATAGATGGATAGTGGGTGATGTGGGACTCTTACAGGCTGAAGTTGGTCAGACAGGTGAGGTAAGAAAGGCATCAAGAGGGCCCTCATCCCCAGGGGATATATACTTTTTCTGGATGCTCGGGATTCATTGAGTCCTGCGTTTTCTCATTGTGTAGCCATCCCTGATTACAAATTCTAATCTAAACATTTAATTGTAGGAATAATGTAGAGCTAGAAGGGGCTTAGCTCTAATATGACCCCTTCATTTTATAGGGGAGGAATGGTAAATGTCTTGCCCAAGGTCACATGAACCGTAAGCAGCTGAGGGGAGATTTGAACTTAAGCTCTCTGACTCCAGAGCCAGGGATCTTTCCGTTGTAGGATACAGCTTTCCTTTCTGCATGCTACTGGGTTCCAGTCTACAGTTGATATCACAATATGGATTGATCCCAAATGAAAATAAATTATTAGTTTAAATTTGATATCTCTTCCATAATGTCTTTCAGGTTGAACTCACACAGAAATGTCCTGCCAGCAAAGCCAGCAGCAGTGCCAGGCCCCTAAGTGTCCACCCAAGTGCCCATCTAAGTGCCAGACCCCCAAATGCCCTCCCAAATGTCTTCCCAAGTGTCCTCCCAAGTGCCCTCCCCAGGCTCCCTGCCCTCCTCCAGTCTCTTCCTGCTGTGGCTCTAGCTCTGGAGGATGCTGCAGCTCTGGGGAATGCTGTGGGTCCAGCTCTGGGGGGTGCTGCAGCTCTGGCTCCGGGGGCGGCTGCTGCCTCTTTTCCCATCACAGGAGATCCCACAGACGCCGGCACCAGAGGTCTGACTGCTGTGACAGTGGCAGTGGCCGCAGCCAGCAGTCTGGGGGCTGCTGTGGGAGCTCTGGGGGCTGCTGCTGATCACCTGGCTCTCTCCACACCAAGAATCAGCAATGTGGAACCAAAAGTTAATAACGACCCTGCCTCAGTCTATGTTTATCCTCCCTCTTCATTCACCCTACAACTCTCTAAGGAGATCTGTATAGATCCTGGTCTCCAGAAGTCTTTATTGACTTTATGCCTTGGATCTGTCTGGCCTCAATTCTACTATTTTGATTATTGATTATTTGCAAAAATAAATCTACATTCATGGTACTCTTTGTCTAGTGGTGATTGTCTGTTTTTCTGTGTCTTATTACAGGGCTCAGCCCTTTCTCTGTAGTCAAGGGTTTTTAGTCTCATCTTTGCATATTTAAGAGACAAATGCACTGTTTTTCTCCTACATAAACAGTTTGAGTTGGCAGTACTTTCTTTTAAACATACCTGACACAAATGTTCTACTTCTTATACACACCAGATGCCATCCAGTAGGCTGGATGAATAGTTCTGGTTAGGCCCGCACTTATGTATCCAAGACCATCACAGAGTAAGACATGATTGTACAAACGAATGACAAACAATGTGTGTGTGACAATTCTGAAAAGTTAGGCTAGGGTTGGGCCGTAACGAACTTTAAGTGCCAACCAGAGAAGTTTGTGTATAATCCTAGAGGTAATAAGAAGTCATTAGATTTAATTGATTAGGAGGGTGACGTGGTCAGACCTGCACTTCAGGAAAAATCAGTTTGATAGACGTGGAGGATGGATTGTAGTGGGAGTGATTAGAGGCTGGGAGACCAATTAGGGGCCATTGCAATGGGGATTGGATAAAGAGAAAGGAATGTATGTCAGAGATTCTGAGAAGGTAAAAATAACAGGATTTGGCCACTGACTAGATACATGGGCCAAGAGACAATGAGGAGCTGATATTATGAACCTGAGCGCCCCCAATAGCGACAGAGAAGTTCAAAAGTGAGTTTTGGAGGAAAGAGAACAAGATGAGTGCTTTGGGGACATAATGAATTTGGGATGACTACAGGACATCCCCAGTGAAAATGCTGATTCAGCAGTTGTTAATGCGAGACAGGAGACATGGCAGGGAGGGTAGAGAGCTTGCCTTGGAGCCAAAGACTCAGGTTCAGGTCCTTTCTCTGCCACATACTGACCACGTGACCTTGGACAAGGTTGTGCTTGAAATAACTCTCTAAGACTCTAAGTTTTAAATGGAAAAGGTGCCAAACTGAACTGATAGTGGGACTTCACTTACCCATGAGCTCTCTCCTTCTCTATACTAATGAAATCATAGGTCCAGGCTTTACATATGCATGTATATATACACACATCTATGTGTGCATGCACACATATGTACATGTGTAAACGTGTGCACAATGAATGCACACATGCATACTCATATGTTGCATTATGCATGTTAATGGATATATTGTATCACACAACATAAGTACATCTGCACATAGGTGCTGCTGCCATGCATGTGTATGTGCTATTCTAATAGAGGCATTTCTTTCTACTTGAAATCATCCAGCAGAAAGGCTATAGAGAATGTTACCCAATATTTCTGGGGAATCCCTTTCTCAATCTTAGCAATATCTGGAAGAACAGGTTCAGCCAAGCATTGTTTAGGACTTCCTAGACTGGGGTTGTTTGTATTTGTGAAATAGACCTAAGAAGATATATGACACAGAGCCAGAGGGAGTGTCCATTATGCAGAGAGAGCCAGGGAATTCTCAATAGTGATCACAAGATAGGAAAGAGGAAAGAAGAGAAGAAAGATTGCATATTGCAAAAGCATTAACCAATTCCTAACTCCTCCAGAAACCCATCCCAGAATATTTCAGTCCTCACTGATCTTTCCCTCCTCTGAAACCCCCAATATCATCATCGCTCCTCCCTCTGATTTGGACTTTAATTATTGGCCAATCCCATCTCTCTATGCATATTCGTCTTCCCCATTATACTGTAAAGCCCCACCAGAGCAAGGACTAGTTCACATTCATTATTGTAGCCTGTTCTGCTAGTGGCTTACCTGGGGACTCCCACTGAATAGAGCTTTACATGAAATAAGTATTTATTTATTGACTGATTGACTAACAGATTTGCAGTGAAATTATCATCTGCAATTGCCAGTATCCATTAATGCCGAATTCATATGTCGCTGACACTTCACAAGGAAGGATGTAAAGCAGGGGGCAGGGTGGTGTTCCCAAAGCCATATTTCCCAGGAAGTAACCTCCACTGTCCTTGGGTGGTGGCAGCTGAAAAGCCAGGTCTATGATGGTCACATTGGTCACGATGTAAGATCACAAGTTCTCCTGTAGATTAGCTGTCATCCTATTCGTCCTTGCTGTCTGCATTCTTCATATCCCCAGTCTCTGCATCATAATCTACAGCAGGACCAGCCACATCATCTATCATCACTCTGGTGGAAATTCGAAACAGGGATTTGCAGAAATGTTTGGAACAGTGACAATGAAGAGATGTGAAGGCTTATAAGCCAATCTTTCAGTATGGGACAACAATTATTTGGCTTCATAAGCCAAGTCAATTAAAAGTCTTCTTTGATCTTATAATGATGCTTCATGTATTTCTCTCTCTCTCTCTCTCTCTCTCTCTCTCTCTCTCACTCTGTGTGTTTGTGTGTGTGTGCGTGTGTGTATACTGTGATTTGAGCAAAGGATTTTGATGAAAAGATGTTGGGATGGGCACATGGACAGTCACAGGATTAGGATGATAAAGCCTTCCTGCACTCTTTCCCAATTCCCTCTGTGAATTGACCCATAATTTTTCATTAAGTTCTACCAGGGTCATACATGTGAGGACAATGTAAAATTTTAGGAAACCCCAAAAAATGAAAAATAGCTAACTCTATGGTTCCACCTCCATGAGTTGTGAAATCAATTGTTCGTCTAGTGTAACAGCCTAATCAAACCAGATTGAAGAATGAAAACAAACAAACACTTCTTAAAAAGTTGTACTTTTTAAGGACAAAAGTAAGTAAAGGACCCCCTGTTCTGGGTGACTAATAAAATTTAGAAGACAGAAACTGCTTTTCATCTGGCTCCTGGTTTCTATTCCATAGACAGTGATCTTTGATCTAGAAAGGGCAAATAAATGTGAATAATGGGATCTTGATATCCAAGATAAATGAGCAACAAACTTAACCTTGTTAAGTTCAAGTCACATATCTCAAATGAAGGACATCCTCAGGCATCAGAAGGATAGGCAGACATGATTGCTGAGCCATTGCCAGAAATCCTTGAAGGATCACCAGTAAGAGGAAAGGCCCCACAAGATTAGAAGAAGTGACCTTTGGCCAAACTTTCAAACAGAAAGGAAGAAAATGGGATCTATAAACTATGAGGTCAGGGACCATGATTATTCTTACTGGTAACATTCGATGACATCTTATGAAATGGCAGTTAGTGAGTAATTAGAAAAGGAGGCATTTATCCCAAGTGACCAGCATGGCTTTATCAAAAACAGATCCTGCCAGACTTTTACATCTCTCCTTTGATCAGATTCTTCTACTGGTGCATTAAGGGCAGAATGATGTGTACATAGTTTTGTCTAGATTTTGTTTAAACATGATAAAGTCCCTCATGTTGTTCTTGTGGGGAAAATTAGGAGATATAGATTAGTGCCCAATAGTTGGAATTACAAAGAGTTGAATGGTCATATCCAAAGGAAATCATTGATGGTTTCAGACAAATTTAAAACGAAGTCTCCAGATAAGTGGTCCAGGAATCAGTGCATGCCCCTAGGCTGCCATTCAATGATTTGGATAAAAGCATAGATGACATTCTCATCAATTTTGCATTTGACACAGAGATGGTTGGGGCAGTTAACACACTGGATTACATTGAGTATTCACAAAGATTTTGACAAGCAAAATATTAGGTCAAAGCTAATAAAGTGAAATTGAAGAAGGATAAAGCCTTACACTTGAGTGGAAAAAAAATTAACTTCCCAAGTAAAAAAATTAGGTTCAGAAAGTAGTTTATCTGAACAATATCTGGATGTTTTGCTGGGTTGCCATTTCAACACAAGACAACAATGTTACACTGAAGCTAAGACAGAAAATATAATCATGAACTCCATTAACAGAAGAAATAGTCTCCAGAAATAAGGAAGTTCCAGACCTACAGAACTCTTCCCTGATCAGACCACATCTGGAGTATTCTGTTCAGATTGATAAGCTGGAGAGAGTCTATAAAAGGGTACCAGCTTGGTAAAATGCCCTTAATTCATGTCATGTGAGAATTGGTTGAAATATATAGACTTAGAGGGCAGAGGAAAATAAGAGCTGTCTTCAAATATTTGAAAGGCAGTCACATGAAAGGGGAATAATCGTTGCTGTTGTTCAATCATTTCAGTCATGTCTGATGCTTCGTGACCCCATTTGGGGTTATCTTGGCAAAAATATTGTAGTGGTTTGTCATTTACTTCTCCAACTCTTTTTACAGATGAGAATACTGAGGCAAACAAGGTCACACAGCTAATGAGTGTCCAGGGCTGGATTTTAATTCAGGGAGATGAGGTTTCTTGATTCCCAGCCCAGTGCTCCAACCACTTGTTTTATTTGTCCTCAGAGAACAGAACTAGGGGGTCAGGGGGCAATGTGTGGTATGGTAGGAGAAATAGCTACCAGTATCTCTTGTCATGTAGGCTAAGCTAATTCTTTTCCTTAAAAGTATCAAAATCATCTTCTAGACATATTAGGCTCAGAAACTAAAAGACTTTGACCACTGATGTAGCTCTCTGGTCACTAAATACAAAAGGGCCAAGGAACAAGCAGCTTGGGCTACTTGCTGAGGCTTCTGACTGGCAAATGAGTAACATAATCAAGACTGGCACAGGATAGCTGTGCTCAGCTTGATCAGTGCTGTATCCTCTCTGAATATCCTTTCCCTTCTATGGCTAAGTAAATATCCTTTTTGTTAAATATTCGATGGACCGTGATCCAGAAATGCCTTAACTGCCTCAATCATTACCAGCTTACCAAAGGTGAACATTCCAAGGAGTATGGCAGACTTGTTTAGAGGAAAAACTTCCCAAGAATGAGAGCTCTAAACTAAAAGAAGCATCCTGCTGAAGCTCATAGGGTTCCTTTTCAATGGAGATCTTTAAACTAAGCTGAGTGACCAACTATCTAGTGGGTGATGGTGGGAATACTTTATCAGACATGGTGTAAACCAGATGGCCACCAAGTCCCTCCTAATTCTGTAACTGTTTGAATGAATCAGCAGCACCTCTGAAACCCACCATGGGTTGTTTCTACAGGAGCACCTTGAAAAGGTGATCATAGCTGGGTTCTTTCTGTATCTAGGGGGCTCTTTGTGTAGATATTACTAAAAAATCAACCTACTGACTTAGACAAATGAAACAACAGGCATCCAGGGCTGGGCTCCCTCAGAGAGAAATCAAATTTTTCCCCAAGAAATGAGGGGTTAAGAATCAAGAGAGACAGGAATAAGAACCTCTGAATTATTAGAAAAAAGTAGAACTCTCACAATCAGGTTTTCATGGGAATCTTCAATGACATTGTGGAGGTGGTCTGAAAAAGAATAACAGAAGGAAGAGGGGGAAGGTGGATCCAACCCTGGGAAAAGACTCCAATTCTGAAGATATAATTTAGATAGGACTGCTGTTGTGGAAGAGTATTCTCGAGAACCATCATGACCCATTAGGCAGGGATCCCCAAATGATGCTGAAGAATGCCAAGAATTGCCTGGCATGTGGGGATTGCAGAGTACATGCCTTCAGTTGTGAAAGAGCCTTGTCCTCCCACTAGAGTCATGGCTTACAGCAGCAGTGGAGAATGGAGATCCTGTATAAAAGGTGTCCCTGGCATGGGCTCTTCACCCAATCTGCCTCCTCAAGGACAAGCTGACCAGTGCCTGTGATTTGGGTAAGTGATTCAAAGAATTTTGAATACAGGGTTTGAGACAGTGGAAACACCTAAGTGGGAGGCAGACAGGACAGGGCAGGCAAAGGATGGAAGTTCAAAGGCAGAGAATAGTAGAGGGACCAGAAATAATGGGGAAGGGTCAAGTGGGGTAAGAAAAGAGTATTAGGTGGGGCAGCTAGGTGGTGCAGTGGATAGAGCACTGGCCCTGAAGTCAGGACGACCTGAGTTCAAATCTGGCCTCAGACATATAACACTTACTAGCTGTGTGACCCTGGGCAAATCACTTAACCCCATAGACAAGGCAAAAAAAAAAAAAACCAGAGTATTAGGATCTTGATCAATAGAGATCAAGAACCAGTCTGAGTGTTTCCAGAAAACAAGACACAAGCCTAGAGTTTAGAGAGGAAGGGAGCAATCATGGTTCCCAGAAACTATGCCAATGACTTGTATTCCCAAAGATGTTTGGGAGGAAGTTGTTCTAGCCTCAAGAATATCCCTACTTAAATGCATCTAGAGAGTATATACAACTCCCGCCAGAGTTACCTATAAGCCAGATGTATGTTGATAAAATATTGTGTCTTAGTTTATGTTTGAAGTGGCAAAACTGACAATAAGGAAAAATTGCTTTCTGGTAGTCTCTGAGTAATGGGTATTGTCGAGATAACTCAGGAGCATGTGTCTTGATGGTGGTAACCCAGGGGATTGTGTAGGCAGAGACACCAAGGGTAAAGGGTAGGAAGGGATTGATTGGCTAGGAGGCATGTCCATTTTCATGACCCAGTGAATGAACTAGGTGGGACCATTCAGAAAAGGGATAGAATAGAGAGGTTTTTTAGTAGAGGGTTTTGAGCAGAAGACATTTAGGAGAATTTTGAACCAGGAAGGGAGCGAACCAAATGTGGCAGCTTCCTAAAATCAAATTGGCTAAAGGAAATGTCACTTAGAGAGGTTATTTTCCCAGGTGGCACGTAGATCTAGTTAAAAAAAAAAAATGTTGAGTCAAGTAGTTTGACTTGCCAATTAAATTGAGATGGGAAGAGTAGTTAGAAAGGACCCCTGGTGGTGAATTTCTCTTTGGCTCACAGTTTTGTCCTACCTACAACTCTTTAACTGTGTTTGTAAGAGCTTATCTTCTGCTGATAAATACTAAAAACCTTGCAGACTTGGGATTAAGAAAAGGGAGAGGGGGCAAATGCCCAGAGAAAGATTAGATTCAAGTGGCAATGCCCATTTCACATGGGCATTGACATGAGAGGATGGTGAAAACTGATTCAGAGATCTGTCTCAGAGGCAAGGATAGAAATACGAGCTCTGTTGTAGAAGGAATAATGAAGTTCAAAGTACTTCAGTACACAGCGGAATATGCTTTTCCTAGGTGCTATAAACTCAGTGCATCTTGGCTTAAATGCACAGGTTCCCAATCCCTGGCCCCATAGTCCAATAAAAATAAACTTAACTTGAATAAAATCTTCCCCAGGTATTTTTTGGAGGATGTAAGTGATTTTGACATTATGTGCCATAATAATAGCTATTGATCTTAAATGTAAATAAGTTCTTAGCCTGGATTTGATGTATCTTCATTATCTTTCAGGCTGAACACACACCAAGATGTCCTGCCAGCAAAGCCAGCAGCAGTGCCAAGCCCCTAAGTGTCCTCCCAAGTGTCAGACCCCTAAATGCCCACCCAAATGCCCCCCTAAATGCCCTCCCAAGTGCCCTCCCCAGGCTCCCTGCCCTCCTCCAGTCTCTTCCTGCTGTGGCTCTAGCTCTGAGGGATGCTGCAGCTCTGGGGGATGCTGTGGGTCCAGCTCTGGGGGTTGCTGCAGCTCTGGCTCCGGGGGTGGCTGCTGCCTCTTTTCCCATCACAGGAGATCCCACAGACGCAGGCACCAGAGGTCTGACTGCTGTGACAGTGGCAGTGGGCATGGCCAGCAGTCTGGGGGCTGCTGTGGCAGCTCTGGGGGTTGCTGCTGATCACCTGATTCTCCCTACACCAAGAATCAGCAACATGGAATCCAAGACCAACAATGACCCTCCTTCAGTCTGCAGTTTCCCCTACTCCTCCCTCCCAACTCTCCTAGCTCCTTCCTAAGATTACCTGTATGAATCCTGCTTCCCATAAGCCCTTAATCACCTTATACCTTGAATCTACCTGGCCTTGGTTACACTACACTTCCTCGGTCATTTACAGCAATAAATCTGTGTTCACAGCAATTTTTGTCTGAGGGTGATTTTCTTTCTGTATACTGTTACTGAGTCCTGCTCTTTCTCTTTGGTTGTTACTAAAATCACAACTTCAACTGTTTAAAAGATAATTTGATGTATTTTTTTCCTATCAACAAGCACACAAATTGCTAAATTCTGATCTCCTGAGGTTCTATATGATTTTTTTCTGAATATGATACTTGTGATTCTTTCAATATTTCAATAATACTTCCTAGTCATATGATTTTTGTTCCCAAACAAACTGGGGGTGTCCCTTGAAAGCAACCTTTCTGTATTGAATCGAATCAATGATGGTTGCATTATATGCCCCATTGTCTAGACTCTTGCTTCTGATGACATTGGGTAAATGACAGAAGAGGAGGTTTCATTTTCGAGCAGCATCTTCATATCCTCTTTTCTCAAGAAGGAACCTATCTTTCCAAGGGGCTCTTCTTTTGAAGAAATCCTTCTTCTAAGGTAGGATGGAGAGTTATTATTTTCCAAGTATACAAGTTTTCCAGGTATCCTTGTATTGACCTTGGATGACTTCACAGCTTCAGCCAGACCACAAAGAGGTCCTCTGCAGCACCTTCCCCAGCATTTTACAATTGCCCAGAAAATCCACAGTAATTTGTAGTCTGATCAGTGGTAATCTTGTCACAGTCCAAAGATACTCAGCAACTTTATCAATCAACAAGCATTTATTAAGCTCCTTCTATGGACCAGACATTTTACTAGTAACTGGGTCTACAAAAACAAAAATGAACCAGTTTGTGTCTCAAGGAGTTCACAATGTAGCTGAAGATGCCAAATGTATATACACACATATATATATTATATGTGTGTGTATATGTATATATATGTATGTATATTGTATATATGCATGCATGCATACAAATATATAGGTATAGATACATATAGTTATATACAAAGTAGGTAGAAGGTTTTTTTTGGGTAGTATCCCAAAGGATTATTTGAAATGTCACTAGTAACTGAGGGGATCAGGAAAGGCTACATGCAGGTGCTGCTTGAACTGAATTTTGAAGGACCATAGATTCTATAAAGTAGAGTTGAAGAAGACTATTATCCAGGCATGGGGAATGGCCAGTGCAAAGTCAGGGAGGTGGGAGATGAAATGTCATATACAAGGAACAATTGAAAAAGTCAGTTTGACTAAATTGTCATGCACATGAAGGGGAATAATTTGTGATAAGGCTAGAAAGGTAGTTTAGGGCCAGAACTTTCAATATTAAACAAAGAAGTTTAGATCTGATCCTAAAAGTAATATGGAGACAAGAACTCACTATTTGACAAAAACTTCTAGGAAAACTGGAAAGCATTTAGCAGAAACTAGGTATAACCAACACCTCACACCATATGCTGAGATAAGGTCAAAATGGTTACATGATTTAGATGTAAATGGTGATAACCATAAGCAAATTAGGGAAGCATGGAATAGTTTGCCCATCAGATCTATGGATAAGGGAAGAATTTATGACCAAATGAGATAGAGAGCATTATGATACATAAAATGTATAATTTTGATTACTTTAAATTAAAAGGATTTTGCACAAACAAACCCAATGAAGCCAAGATTGGAAGGAAAGCAGAAAATTGGGGGGGGCAGGAATTTACAGCAAGTTTCTTTGATAAAGGCCTCATTTCTCAAATATGTAGAAAACTGAGTCAAATTTATAAGAATATGAATCATTCCCTAATTGATAAATAGTCAAAGGATATGAACAGGCAGTTTTCAGAAGAAGAAATCAGTTACCTATAGTCATGTGAAAAAATGCTCTAAATCACTATTGATTAAAGAAATGCAAGTTAAAACAACTCTGAGGTACTGCCTCACACCTATCAGATTGGCTAATATGATGGAAGAGGAAAATAATAAAAGTTGGAGTGTATGTGGGAAAATTGGGACACTAATGTACTGTTGGTGAAGTTGTCTAGCTATTCTGGAGGGCAGTTTGGGAACTGTGCTCAAAGAGCTATAAAAACCGTGCATAGTATTACCACTACTAGGTCTATGTGCCAAAGAGATTTTTTTTAAAAGGAAAAGAACCAATATGTACACAAATATTTAAGGCAGCTCTTTTTGTGGTGGCAAAGAATTGGAAATTAAGGGGATGCCCATCAACTGGGGAATGGCTGAACAAGTTATGGAACATGATTGTGATGGAATACTACTGTGCTATAAGAAACAACAAGTAGGATGCTTTTAGAAAAACCTGGAAAGACTTACATGAACTGATTCAAAATGAATAGAGTAGAACCAGGAGAACAGTGTACACAGTGACAGCAATATTGTACAATGATCAACTATGAATGACTTACCTATTCTCAGCAATACAATGATGCAAGACAGTTTCAAAGGACTTATACTGAAAAATACTATTCACTTCTAGAGAAAGAACTGGTGATATCTGAATGAAGATTAAAGTATACTTTTTAAAACTTTATTTTTCTTGGGTGTTTTGGTCTGTGTTTTCTTTCGTAATATGACTAATATGGAAATATGTTTTGCATGACTGCACATATATAACCTGTATCAAATTGCTTGCCTTCTCAGGGAGGAAGGAGGGAAGAGAAAAAGGGAAAAAATTTGAAACTCAACCTTTTAAAAACAAATGTTAAAAATTGCTTTTACATGTAATTGGGAAAAAAAATTTTTTTAAAAAGAAGTAAAATGGAGTCACTGGATTTTATTGCATAAAGGAGTGACCTGGTCTGATGTGATCTTTGTTTTAAAAATTGAGAGGCTTTTGAAAGTACTATCCATATCCCTGTTCACTAGCCCTCTAACAATGAAGCAGGTATTTCCTCTATTCCCTGTTCCCCTCTTCCTCTTATCTGTCCTTCCTCCCCTTCTCTCCTTCTTCCATTTTTCCCCACATTAAGGCACATTAACATTCCTGGCTTTTAAGGGACATGAACCTCATTTGACTATTAATGCAGAAGGTGTTATTCTGGATAAACTCTCCTAATGTAATCCTTATGTCAGAAACTCCCATAGGGTCCTCCTACCATATGCAAGGTGGGGAAGATATTCTTAAAGCTGGTACTTTGCTCTCACCCAGGAAATCCAGCACCCTTTCCAGACGACATCAACCAGCATCTTGTCACCAACTCCCTTTGTAAGGACATAGATCCAAGATGACAAGCTTTGTTTACGGGCCAAACAAACCGAGTGAAACTCATTACATGGCTCACAGACTCTAGCAGTCTTTCTAAGGAGGCAGCTGATAGTGCAGTGGATAGAGTACTGGGCCGGGAATCAGGAATACCCGAGTTCAAATGTGACTTCAGACACTAGCTGTGTGATCCTGGGCAAGTCACTTCCTTCTGTCTGCCTCAGTCCCCTCATCTATAAAATAGAAATAATAAGAGCACCTACTTCTTAAGATTGTTGTGAGGATGAAATGTGTTACTATTTTTTTTAAAGCACTCAGCACGGAGCTAGCACACAGTAGGTGCTATGTAAATGCTTATTCCCTTCCCTTCCCAGAGAGATACATAGCTCTTGTCACATAATACGTCAATGAATTGACTGAACATTTGCTTTTATTCCTTCCACTTTAGGGGTTCTTAAACCTTTTGGTATCACAGATCCCTTGGACAATCAGTCTGGTGAAGCTTAGGACTTCTTAAGATAATGTTTTTAAGTGTATAAAATTGTATAAAATGTATAAATTATATAAAATGTATAAATTGTATAAAATAAATGTATAAAAATGTGAAATATATATATATATAAAATAAAAACATACAGGATTACAAAAGAAATTAATGATATTGAAATAGAGTTATCAGAATATATTTTTTTAATTCACAGATCCCAGGTGAAGAACCCTTCCAATATTATCAGCAATATCCAGCTTTTTGATTAAAAAATAGTCCCCCTAAATAATTAATCAGTATCTAATTTAGACATTAAATCCCTACATCAGCTCAACAGATGCTGCCACCTGTTATCACTCTCTGTGGGTACCTCTTCCTGAAGCTCTCTAGAGGTGACTTTGGAATCAGTGGCCTTTTGACAGAGGAAATACTTTTCTGACATGTCTGTCCCTGTATGCCTTCATGAAAACTCCAGAATATTCTTGTTTTCGCCTGAGAAACAGTCCTTGCATATTGTCCAAACACAACTTCAGAAAAAAAAAAAAAGTCTGTCCTCCTCTGAAGTGTTTCTCTTGTCCTGGCCACTAAAGGCATCGTACACATTTGCCTGGGAGCTTGAAACACACCCCTGCTCACTTGTCACTGAAGGAGTCTCTGACTCAGATAGTTTTCCATCAGTAGGGTGGTGAGTGTTTTAAGTGATGTAGTGGACAAAATGCTACAATTGTTTTCCCTGAGTTCCAATCTTGCCTAAGACACTTGCTAGCTATGTGACCCTGAGCCAGTCCCTTGAGATCTGTTTCAGTTTCTTCATGTGTAAAATGGAGATAACAATAGTCCCTACTTCTCAGGTTACTGTGAAGTTCAAACGTGGTCATATATGTAACATGCTTTGTAAACTGTAAAGCACTATATTAATGTTTACTATCATCATCACCATCATCATCATCATCATCATCATCAATCTGAGATGTCTCTAAATCTGATGAAATTACAATACTTGTCCCCCACCCCAGTCCTGCCCTTGCAAACTCTCACCCTCCAAAAGAAACCAAAAACGATGGAACTCTTTTTGTTATACTGGAAATCATTTCTTGGAAAGAGGTAGGAGGATGTTTGTACAATAATTTCTGGGGGAGGTTTTTATCTTCCCCAGCAGTTTCTTAAAGAAAAGGTTTAGGCAAGCAAAAGAATTACAGGTTTTTGTTTAGTACTTCAAAGATAGAGGTGCCTTGCATATGTGAAATGGGCCCAAGCAGACGTGTGACAGGGAGCCAAAGGGGATATGATATGCATTACACAGGAGGGAGGCAGCTGTATCTCCAAGTTCCAGGATGGAAGAATGAAAAGATAAGAAGAAAAGAGTATATTACAAAAGCTTAGTT